CCCATGGTGCTAGCCAAACTATATGGATTTTTCACTCACATATCTCCAAACACACATATCCCTACACATCTTGGGTGAACTCTCACCCCCTATGATCATTCTCTTTCACAAGTTCCACTAATTATTCACATTTCCACAACATACATACTTTCATATCATATATCTATATATATATGTATATCCATTGAAATCAATGACTTTTTAAATTCTATTTCACAAACTAATGTTCATGCTAAAACCATTTCAATAACAATCATGCATAAAACTTGTAAATTCACAATAAATCATTTGATATTCACTTCTATACAGTTATAATAGTTAATAAACATAATAAACTATATGGTTACCTCAACCATTCTATTTACTGGAAATGTTTACCTGTGTTCCAACAACCCTATTCAAGCTCCTTTCTTATAATTCGTGTCACACACACACACACACTAGAATCTACACAAAATTGGCAACCTAGAGTCAATTTCTCTATTGACAAAAAGTGCCAATCATCACATTTAAGCACTCAATCATTATCAAATCCACATTTCACACTCGATTACATCCATTACCACTAATTATCCCTCATTTCAAGCTTTAACATTTTCTAGCAATTTTCTCTCACTACTCTCTCTAGATTAGGGCAAATCTTACCTACAACTTTAAAGCTTTATCGTTTTGACTCCAACCAATTATAAAGCACTAGCTTAGTTTTGAAGAACCTTTCTATTATTATAAGGTAAGAAATCAACTCCTTAAAACTCTTAAATTCAATTTCTTACTAGTTAAAACTAAGAGAAAATAGGGTAGATTTAGAGGTTAAGGCAGTACATGACTTACCCGATAAATAATAGGTCAAAAATATCGTCCTTGCTCTTGATTATGCTTGCCCTAATAGATCCACTGCTCTTCTCCATACTAAAACTCTCTTCCCACGTTTCTCCTTTCTGTTTCACAAGCTGGACACATCCCTATTAATCTGATTTTTGCACTATGCATCACGACGCATCTATCCCCTATTGCGGTACGTGGCACAGTGAGGAAAATCCTCATTATGCTCACACATCTGCTTTGCGATTCTGCTTTGGGTCAAAATAACACTTCACTACTCAAAACTTTAATCCCATATTAAATCACTAATTCATTCTTAATCAGTCATTAACATATGATTAAAAATTCAAGATGTTACACTACACAAAGAGTTTAGGGCAACCAAAATAATAGAAAAAGAAATAAAAAGATATGAAAAGATATTAACCAAGTTTTTAGAAAAGGAAAAAAAATAGAGACAAAAGAAAAGGTGAAAAAGAAAAGAAAAAGGAGTAGAGAAGTTTCCTGGCTTATTTACATTCATTTCTTATCATTTCTCTTCATTCTCATTATGTTAAGAAAAAGGCGTGTCATTGCTGTCATGATAGCAAACAACTATCATCATAGTACTTTAAGCCTAAATTCTAGAGCACACCGATTTGCCATTTGACATTAAATTTTAGTGATTCAAGAATTCACATGTAGCTCTTAGAGCCACCTAGTTATTGGCACTAGTCTCATGCCTAAACACTAAGGGTGCATTTGGTTTTCAGTTTGCCAAAAGTTAGTTTGATAAAAGTTTATTTGACAAAAGTCAGTTGTGTTTGCATACATTTTTTAAAAGTCAGTTTGGCAAACTAAAAGTTGTTTGGATTAATAAAAATTTATGCTTTTGAAATGTACTTTTTAATATGTAGTGACCAAAAAGGACATTGATTTATGATCATTTGTGATTTTTATTATACAAATATAATATATTAAAATATTTAAAAAATGTGAAACAAATATAAAATAACATAAAATTTAAAATGTTAAATAATAAGAATAAAAAATATAAAATTTAATTTTGGAAAAAATTATGTAATAAATAGTTAAACATTCATTAAGATTGAATAGTTACATGATTAACAGTTCGATCTATAATATATAATCTGATCTCTAATAGAATCTTATCTCTCTATCAGAAGCTATGCTTGAAATTGCACTTGAAATTGTTGATGAAAATGCATGCTTGTCATTATCATCGTTAGTCTTAACCATATTTTCATCCTCAAAATGCCTAAAGTTAGAATCAGTTATAGATTTTCTTCTAATAAAATTATGTATAGCCATTGTTGCACCAATAATACGAACTCGCTGCACAAATGGATAGCTAGGTATGTATCATAAGATTGCGAATCTATGTTTCCAAACCTCAAAAGTCCTTTCAATTGTAGTCTTTAAGCTTGAATGATAATAACTAAAAACCTCACTATTATTTGTAAATTTGGATGAATGCCTGAAATCTATGAGATGATATCTGTGAGATCTATAAGGACATAAATATCTACGTGGTGTTGGATAGCTGGCATCCGACAAATAACATTTACCTACCAATAAAAAAACAAAAATTGCAAGATCTCAACAAATATTAAAAAAATTATTTTAAATTAGATAAATATGAAATATACCTTGGGGTAGATGTGAAAATTTCATGTTTGGCCTTGTGAGTGCATAATCAAACAAACGAGCATCATGAGTAGTCCTTTCCCATCTAGCCATGACATAAGTGAAGCACATATCCCAATCACATGCGGCCATTATATTTTGTGTTGGAATACCTTTCCTTTCAATATATTTCCCTTGCTCTTCAACACTGACCACACAGAGGATATGGGTTTCATCAATTACTCCTATGGCATCTTTAAAGAATGGCCAATACCGCAGATCACCTAAAATTTTTAGATGAATATCTTAAAAAGTATGATCTTTTGGGTTAGATATATTTCTTTGCTAGATTCTCACAAGCATGCAATACATCTAAAATGTTTGTGAATAGTCTCTGTTAAATGTTGAAGTCGTTCTTGTGCCATCCTATTCCCCACTCCATGTCCAACAATATTTAGGAACATACCAACCATTTCATGAATCCCTATTCTTCTAGTTAGATGTAGGCCATGTTGCACCAGTTCATCATAAAGTTGAAGAAAAACATCTTTTTCCATACGAAACATGTCATAACAATGCTGAGGATGCCCTTGCAAAATTTCTTACACCATATATGACCTGATTGCAAACTATTTCTACAAGGCTCTTTCAATAAAGTTGTTAAGTAATTAGATACTATTGCAATAATAGCGTCAACCTCATCGTCTTCTGCATGTATAAGTAATTATAATAAGTGAGACTACTTTCATCCATAAAAAGTTCATAACATAATTTAACAACCATTGCACCATTGTTTATGACTTAACATAAGAAATATATAAAACAAGAGTCAAATAACATAATCAATTTCAAAACAAAATTAACAACATCAACAACACTAGCTAGATTTAAAACATTGAGAAGGCAAACTAGGATTGATCTAATTTGCTTTTTTACCTATGCACTTCAAATAGGCCACTAATGCTATTCTATTGTCGTGAAGCCCAATATACATGTCCCTTGCAATCTTATCTAGCAAGGCCATAGCACACTATCCAAGAAGTGCCTTATCACAAGCAATCTCCTTGATTCCATAAAGTTGGTTTGCAATGTCCACCACATTTTGATCAACTGGTTTTGTTCCACCCATTATGGAATTAAGAATTGACTTCAATGTTGAAATCCTATCCTCTTATGTGGACACCAATCGACTCACTGAATCAACCATCATGATTGCAAGACATTTTCCCTTCTTGTTTTGACCACTTTCACCTCTCGTTCGCTTGCTCCTTGAATTAGTACCAACCATTTTATGAATTATTCAAGTTAACTTGCCCAATTTTTGGGAAAGCTCCTCTACTAATGTTTCTTACATCATCACTGTCTCCTGATCCTTCAGTCAAATCCAATTGAGGCCTATACACATCTTATAGATCATCAGCCGTAGGTGTCCATGTAATGTCCACCTTGACATTACCAAAATTCACTAAACAATCATAACAACCAATCATAATTAGGAGCAAGGATTGCTCCTAAGCTCACATTATCCATATAAGTTAAAACTAATAATATTTTAAAAATAATTGAGGAATATTCAGGATCCCATAAAAACCCTTTAAGTTGATAGATTGAGCTCAAACTTAATGATTTATAAGGTATTGGAAGTATGAAAAAATTTTGGGAAGCAAACCACTTCAAAATAGGGCCAAAAATGTCATTTTTGAGTGTTTTGGTCCATGCATCATGGATCATGGTCTGTGCACCGCGACATGTGGCACAGAATGCCAAATTTTCTCACTATACTATGCATCGTGCTTGTGCGAAATGCGCCGCGACCCACTTGTCCATGACAGCAATACTATCATGACAACTTTTCTGGACGAACTTCGAACGAGCGCCATTTTCACATCCGATGTCCGATTGGAGTGATTCAAGCGCCCACGCGAAGCTTATTCAATAAGATAACTAATAGTACAAGTTTCATTACAATCTGATACTATATGAGAATTTTAGACACTCAGATGCAAAATTCAGTTTTTTAAAGAAATTTTCAATCATCCAAGCATCCAAAACTCATAACTTATAACATTAACCCATTGTGAGGCTTGAACTAAGTCTAATGGACCAAAATACACTTGAGTGACTAATCAAACACACAAAAACATACCAAACACAAAATTTGGCCACTCAATGGCCATTTTGCCTAATATGGCCAAAATGCACAATTAGCACTACAAGCACTATTTGACCTCTATTGTCACATAATACACTACCAATATATTATCACCATTTAGATAAAACATTCCTTACACTTGTATTAGTATTTTAGCCCATCACCAACAAAAATTACCACATCTTCATCTCATATACAATATCGGGCTAAAATGGACAATAACATAGTATACAACAAGTACAACCAATCAAAATGATATGCATTCCCAGTTGGCAAATTATAATATCATATAACAAGTTTATGTACACCACTCAAACCAAATTGGGCTTTATAAAGAGTGTAGCAGATATGCTAGTCCCTGCCCGATTCCCTCCTTAGCTCAGTCTCACTGGTAGTAGCACCTATAAAATGATAATCCACGGGATGGGAAAAAAATCTCAGTAACTAAGATAATCTATATTATTAATTAACAAGTCAAGTTATAAACAAGCATTAAAATAAGTAATATAATCACATCATATAATATCACTGCAATTTACATGCATGATCTCTAACCATCCGGTCCTCCAATACTCCTGACCAAACCAGTAGGCTATTCTACAGAACCAAACCACATGTATGGTCCCTAAGCTCACCATTCATGGTAGGACTACCCAGCCAAGGTATCCTAAACCATTTTCAGACTACTGTTTCCCCCTATTACAAGTAATTGGGGTGTTGTTACTCCAATACCTCATCCTACGGATGCTAAGGAGCATAGTCTCCAACTCCGCACCCTTTTGGGTACTAAGGAGAGTAAGTCTCCAACACGCACCCATTTTCGGGCAAGGAGAGTAAATGCTACACCTGGCGTCCCGAGGTACCAGCAATGCCATATGGACTTAATCTTCACCATCTCCACTAGGGTGACCTACCACCCTCTAATATGCCACATTTCACTACATATCTCACTTGACCATGCATAAACAACTTTTCAAATAAGTATAACAAAATATTTCCATTACTTCAAAATATAGAATTTTACAAACCAATACTCCACCTTTTCTAAAATAGTTAACCTCTAAGGAATTTATACATATATACTCAATAATTCATAGAAAAGCAACTTGAGAGTAATTTATATAAGGTAATAATAATGCAAATTATCTAGTTACCTCAACCCTTTTGTTACTAAAAGGGTTACCCGTGGTACTGATTCTCTTCTTGTGTCAATATAAGTCTTCCCACACCACAATCTATATCAACAAGTATTATATGTTAATTTTCAATTAACACAAGCACCATTAACTAATAATAACCTCCCAATTCTCCCACTTCTTACTCATATTCTCAATAAATAGACTTGTCAAGATTAGAATTTATTCACTTCATCCCTTTAAGTCTCTTTCTAACTCTATCACAACATAAAACTTAATATCTCAACTTATCACACTTCAACACCCTATGATCAAGTTGGGGCTTGATCCAAAATTCACCAAACAAGAAAGTAGCTTCCTATTACCACATATCCAAGATCAATAAACCTAAATTAAACCTTTAGAGTCAATAGAAACCTTTAAAACATTGACTCATGGCTTAATCCCACCAGACCAAATTCTTTCTTTTCCAAATCCCATGGAAAATGAGATGAAAAGGTAGAGGAGAAGGGTAGGAAACTTACCCAAGAGTTTGAAGGCTCAAATCATCTTCAAAATCCTCCCAAATTAATGCCCTAGCAGTGAGCAACAACTTGATTTTGCTCCCCTTGGTGCCTTCCGACTTGATCCAACTTTCATCCTATTTCAATTTAGAGCCAAATATGACCCAAAAATCCAATTAGCCACCCAAAAAAATAATTAAATAAATTAATCATATTTTTAACTAACTTATCCCTTAATTAATCCATTTTTTTCCAGATTTGAAGTTTTAGGATGTTACAGGAAACTTACCTAAGAGTTTGGAGACTCAAATGATCTTCAAAATCCTTCCAAATTGATGCCCTAGTTGTACCCAAAGTTGCCCCCTTTGTGCTCTAGGTTTTCTATCAATTTTTGATGATTCTCGAAATTTAAGTTGCCTGCTATGCTGTGCGCCGCAGCGCACGCCACGCAAGCCACGGCTCATGACGTAGCGACCAACAACTTGATTTTGCTCCCCCTGATGCCTCCCAACTTGATCCGACTTTCATCCTATCTCAATTAGAGCCAAATATGACCCAAAAATCCAATTAGCCAACCAAAACCATAATTAAATAAATTAATCATATTTTTAACTAATTTATCCCTTAATTAATCCATTTTTCTAGATTTGAAGTTTTAGATGTTACAGTCCACATGTAAGTGCCCGGTGCTGTAATTGGTAGAACAACTGTGTCAATTCTTGTACATATAGAAGTGGTCTATGTCTAAATTTCCTATACTCAGGATTCTCTTGCACATTTACAAGAACTAAGTCTAGTATGTTTATAAAATAAAATATCAAATGTATAGCATGCCATGTCTAATTGTATACCTTAATCTTTTGATTCCACTACTCTTCCGGTGTTGAAATAGTATTCTTTTCGCTATCCCATCCCAAATCAATCTCTTTGTTTAACAGTTTGTCCCATATATTCCAATCTTTCCTCAAATTATCCCATTTGTTCTTTAACTGCTTCTTATCATAGCTTCTAGAGCTCAAAGCACTGAACTGTTTTATTAATGCCTCCCAACCTTCCTTTGATAAGGTAGATCCTTTACGCTCATTTTTTCTAACTTGCTGTAGAGCTAATTTAATGAACAATTCGATCTCTTCGGTAGTCTATAGTGCCTTATCTTTACTCATTTTTACTATTGAAATATCATATTCTCAATACAAATGAAATTTGAGGAGTAAAAATCCATAATTGAATTAGACTTAAAATATTAAAAAATTTTACTATCCTTTTTTATCAATGAAAAGTCAATAATAATTGTATTTTTTTTTTTGTTCTTTAGGAAACAAAGAGAAAAATATTATTGGATCATGGTTAATTAGCCACTTGTTATTATTGGATAGGAGGCACAGCGGAAGATTAAAATTTTAAAGTCCCTATCCTGATATGGACTGAACGAACTCATTTAAGTCAAGGTGGATAGAAGAGTTACCTTTTAATTCTTTAAAGTTGGCGCACGTTCTTTTCAAGAGTTTGGATCTTAGGAGCTAACAATGTGGATCCACTCCCTCTACTAGTATCCACATGAACAGCTCTCTAACTCGACTAGCGTGCCAGCACTCTCAGCGTCCATTCTTCTTTGAACATTAATTTTCCTTTCTATATGCCTCTAAGAGTGTTTTTGTCGTCAGAACTTTTCTAACTCTCTCTCCCTTCATAAAAGATGTCCCTATTTATATATAGTATATAGATAAAGATTTTCGTCTTTCACTTAAAAGTCCATGAAAATTTAATTAAATTTATCTCATAAATTTAATCCATAATATCATATCTAATTCAAATTTATCTTATAAATTTAAATTATAAAACTGACATGATATTCTTTCATATCATATTAGTTATTAAATTCAATCTATCATATAAAATAAATTTAAAACTAACATAATATAATATAATATTTATTACATATACATATTATATTATATATACGAATATATACATATATATTTCAAAAAAAATATACATATATATATAATATTATATTATCTATATTTAATTTTATGTATTATATACATATATCGTATAGATATATATCTGATACACACACACACACACACACACATATATGGATATATATATTCCAAAATACATACATACATATATATATATATAATTATATTTTGAATTTTGAATTTCATATAAATATATATATATATATATTTATCAAATAAATATTCAATATATATATATAATTCATTCACCCTATATTACATTCATTAAATCTAGACATATTCCAGATTTAATGAACTTGGACATTATAGCTTGAGTTGGGCTATTATGTGTGCGACCCTGTAGGCCCATATGATATTGGCGGTTGGCTAATTACACCATTAGCCCACAAGTCACAAGTGGTCTTTAGCAAGACATTGCAACTACCTAATTCACATGGGGATCGATGATCCGATGTAACCTACCATGCAATCGTATCACATTCCTTTTGTCACGTCTCCTTTACCTGGCTATTACTTTCTCAATATCTGAGTAGACTAATAGTAGCAATGGAAAAACCCTTTCCATTTTAGTATGGCCATACATTTTCTCAGTCTTACTCATTGAGAGGCCCAGTAATATCGCTCACTTAATGTGAGGGACAAATTTCATCTTAACCACTTATATTCCTCTGTATGAATATCACTAAGCTTAATCATAGCCTTTATGATCACCCGATCAAAGTTCAGTGGTCATCATGTAGGAATCCATGATGATCACAGCTCAAAGGGCTTAGTGATATTATTATATATGAGATAAGCTTATAACTTGTACCATGCAGCTTTCTCATAGCGGGTTGGTCCAGCACTTTCTACTCTTTCAAGTGCTTATGACTTTAATTTGTATCTTTATAATTAATCAAAGTCATACCAGTCTTGTTTCATCTATAATTCCTTAAAGATGACCGATCGGGGACATTTAGGACAATCACTATAGTCTGTCCTGAGATACAGTTATCATATTGAACATGCAATTGTTATGATAACAAAAGAGAAATTCATTAAATAACAATATGCATAGTACAATGATTGGCCCTAGGGCACAATTTCCAACAGTTATCTTAGCCACATATACTTGTTGAAAGAGGCTGTTATTCAAAAACAGCCACAATCAAATGGCTTGGCAATTTCTAGACTCATTTAAAAATTCAGATCATACGATTCAATAGTATGTATTAAAATAAGCAAGTTTGGCCATAAATTTGTAGCCTTTCTCATCCCTTCATCATTTTTCAAAAAATGAATGAGCTCAAATTCCTATCAAAATGAAACTAAAGAAAAAAAGCAAAGCAAGATAGAATAATCGATAGATCAATCACTAGAACATATTCCCAGAACACCGTGTCATATTTCCAAAACATCAACAGACCAATAGAACTATCATGAAATGCAGTCATAAATAATGATCAATCTCATCCATCCCATTACATGTTCTTGTTCTGCGTAGAAGATGGCAATCAAAAGAAGGCAATAAAAAAAACCTCACACTAGTCACTAGAACAGAGGCTTCATGGTGGTAAAAAAAAAAGAAACATATCAGATCGAAGAGCAGAACAAAGGACCATCATTTCATTTATTAATGTAAAATAGAGGACTACCATTTCCAAATCTAATAAAACATGCTTGGAGGCTATCATACCTTATAGACCAAAGAGTAGATTGAAGAAGGGGGTTAGAGTTCGACGAGCTAGTTTGAATGTTCAGTTTTACACTCCACAGGTTGCAAATCTAGGTATCATATGTTCTTTCAGCTTTAAAATGTCATCCAAGTCCTAAAACAACTTAATCCATGAAAGAGTTGAGGAGAAATCAGATAGTGGAATGTGGCGACTGTCGATGAATGAAGGAGGAGCTCAAGGAAGGAAGAGATGAGGAGCTTCGAATCTGTGAGATGGCAAAGGAGGGGCAAAGGAGAGGAGAAGAGATGGCTAAGTGGTTGGCGAGCAGTAGACAATCGACAAACGAGCAATGGCTAAGCAAGATGAGAGAAGCAGTAAAGAATGAGAGACGAGTAGGTAGCTCGGGTTACACGAACGAGAGATTAAAGAAAAAGGAGGGTATCATGGTTAATAAAAATATTAGGTATTAGCCATAAATGCCCAATGCCACAGATCACATTTCAAAAGCAACACCAAGGAGCTTTTGCCTTTTTTTTTAGTTTCAAATATATTCGGAAGCTCATTTTGAAAGCACATTCTATCTGGAAAAAAAAAACCCAAACAACATTTCACATTTAAAAATTTAAAATTTACTTTTGGAATGTAAAAGTAGGTGTACCCAAATGCACACTAAACTAATCAAAAGTTGGATACTTGGATACAAAGTGGTCCATTTTCCTTCTAAAACAACAACCAAGTTATCCAAAGTCTTATACTAATTGCCAATAATTGTGAAACCACTTGAACTAACTCAAATGAACCATAAACAACCTGAGTGATTAAACCACAACAATAACATTCCAAACACAATTTGGCTATCTAAACCTCAAACTCAACATAAACTCAAGGGTACAATAATTAATCATAAACATCTTTAAGGCTATTCAAACACATAATGAATACCAAAGCAATACTTACATTAGTATCCTGACCTCTCACAAACATTACATCACAGAGTCAACATCTTAGGTCAAGATACTCACAGTTTTATAGAATTTATGCAAGTGACAACAAAATGGGTTTATGATCCTAAGTTAGCATAAATATAAATTAATTTATTGAAAAACCAAAAGAAAGAGAGGAAACTATACAATTACAAATCCCTTAATGCTCAGCAGTACCTTCCTTTCCTTTGCCCCTATTAGAGTCTTTACTTATAAAATATAACCACGGGATAAGTCGAGGACTTAATAACTAAATCATCTAAACAAACTACTTATGTGTGATAATAGTTAGAGAGCATGTGAATCAGCATTAAAATATATTTCATATATAACAAGTACATGCACACACACATAGCTATTCAATAGAAATATGCATGATCAACACACCACCTTATATCTTCCTTATATCTTCTAACTAAATCTGTAGGCTGACAATTTGATAGAACTAAATTTATGTGATTAGATTAGCTCAAGCTCACCAATTATGGGAGGCTACCTCAGCCATGGGTGATTTCACCAACTATGGACCACAGACTCCCCCTTTTCATGAATACCCAGGGTGTCAATGCCCAATCTATTTCATATTGTACTGAGACTTCTAAACAAATATAGAACTATGCACTGAGGCCTCTATGGTGCCAATGTAGCATATGAATTTTCAAACAATGTCCCCAAAACCATACTAGGGTGAACTCCTACCCTCTTACAATGATCATGCCAAACATATGCTCAACAATTCCATACATGACCATAACGTGTAACTTCCACTATAATAATCATCTCTATTATAAACCCTATAATTTCACAAATACTTATACTTGAACATATGATTTATTCTTCAAAATCACAATAATCAAAACATGATTTTCCATTCTACTTTATATGGAGTTTCTAAATCATAATCATTTCATATTAATACTATTCTAGTATAAAAAAAGAGTATTAGCTTTAATAATTATCACACAACCATCCAAGA